TATTCTCTAAAGCTAATGTCCAATAAGATATAAAGAATTATTCATTCAATCATATTGTGATATGAAGTGACCAATAAAATATAATTAATTAATTTCTATTAAAAGTTCATATCACAACAATATGTAAATGCATTACAAAACTCTTAATACAGGTCTTGGAGCTTTTTATAAAAGAAAGTCTTATTGAAATTTGAGATTAATAAAAAACTTTGCATCATTATCTTTATTATATTTAACAGATATATAATGATAATCAAATTTGTAATATAAAGTAAGATATATAATACAAAGCAAGACATGTAATATAAAGTAAAAGTCACATGCAACTGATCATTATGTACATATAACTGATCATTAGTTATTAAAGTATTGATTGAGGGTTAGGAAAGGGATGAGAAGGATACTCTTAATAAAAAAATATCAACTGATAAATGAAATTCCCCTTATATAATTATTATATAATATTTTTCTAAAAATTTTATTAAAAGATAAAGTAAATTTTTAAGTTTTATCTTATTTAAATATTATCAATATGAATTTTTAATAAAATATAAATAAGATAAAAGTTTTTCATATTTTAAATTTATTTTGAAATTACATGATTAAATTAGTTAAATAAAATTTTAAAAAAAATAATACTTATCTTGCAGTTATTTTAGATAATTAACTAATAAACTTTAATTACTAAATATTATTATTAATAAAAGTTTCAAATAAAAGATAAATTAATTTATTATTATAAAATATATTTATTAATTTTTTAATTTATAAGTATAAAATTATTATAATAAATGAATAATTAATAAAATTTATTAATTAATATCAGCTAAATATATTTAAAAATTATTATATATAATAACTATATAATAGATTAAAAAATTATAAAATAATATTAATTCTAACTTAATTAGAAAAATATTTAAATATTATAATATTTTAATAAAAAAATAAATGAAATAAAAAATGAATTAATATTTAATTATGAAGATTTAGTAGAAGAAAATAATAAAGAAATTTTAATAATTAATTTTATTAATAAAAAAATATAAAATGAAGCAAAAGATTATAAAAATAATTGAATAAGAAGAAAATAATTAGAAATATTAAATAAAATAAAATTTTATTATTATATTCAGATATTTCTTATAATATAAGAATATAATTTTTTGAATTATATTATATAAAATACATGAATATAAATCAAAAAAATTGAACTTAAAAATTAACACAGAATATAAATTATAGAAAAATATACTAATTAATATTTTATAATAACTAATTAGTAAAATATTAAAATATTATATTAAATAAATTAATAAAATATTAAATATTATATCAATTTAATTAATATAATATTATTTAAATTATTATTTTATTATATATAATTTAAAATATTAATAAAAAATTAAAAAAATAAAATATATATTAATTAAAAATATAATATAATTAATAATAAAATAATAAAAATTAAATAAGTAAAATAAATAAATAATTAAAAATAAGAAGAGAATTATATAAATAATTAATAATAATAATATAATAATAATAAGAGATTAATAAAAAATAAAACTCAAAGAATAATAAAAAATAAAATAATATTATCAAGATCATGAGATAATAATAAAGAACAAACTAGTAATATTATTTTATCTACTTATTATACTAATACAAAGTATGAATTAATAAAATATTTTAATAACTTGTACAAATTAATCTAAAAAATATCAGCTTGATAATTATGAAACTGAAAGTTATAAATTTCTATCTGAAAAAAATAACTAATATAAAAGATAAATAAAATAAAAACTGAAAAAATTATCTCAAGATCTTTGACTTTTTAAAAGAATTAAATGACTTTAAAATATGAATCTTGAGTCGGTGTTTTTTATACAAAGTATTCTATTACAACTTAGAGAATAATGTTTTTGAAAAGAAATCTCATGCAGAAAAAGATAACTTAGATAAAAAGTCTTTCATTTGCATTTGTCACAATAATTAACTGTCAAAAGTTACTGATATTGTCTAGTCCACATTACAGAATTGCTTTTTAACGTTTGTGACGGTAAGTTCTTTATCTAAAACATATATTAGAGCCATATTTAAAATTCTACTGGTTAAAGTGATTACATCATAAATTGCAAGAAAAAAATACATATGGGGCGGATTTGATTCCACAACCGAATTTAAACGCCAACCAAAGATTATCAAAACGGGTCAAGTTTAAATCGTTTTGGGAGTCAAATCAGCCCAAATGAAATATCATATTGATAATTACGTTATAAGATCTGTAGCATCACTTGATGGCTTAGATGGCTTATGGTGTCTCCAAAATTTCATAAATGGATTAACAAAACAAAAAATATTCTAATTCATCAAAGAGCATATTCTTCATAATCATCAGTGGACCATTTTTCGAGTTTCTCTCTTTTAAATTCTTCTGGATCCCATTCTACATCATCCAGTAATGCCGGCGAGTCAATCCACACGTAAGTTTGTGCTGGTACTAATAACGATTTTGGAGATTTTGAAATGACATCGTACTCCTCTTTGGTATAAAGTTTAAGGGATGATGATGCATTGAGGGAAGGAAGACTTGTCGACAGTGCTGAACGATTGTGTTGATAAAGTAGATTTGAAGGTGTATTTTCGATATATACTTCAACATCGGTTCTCACATATTGCTAAGAAATAAATTTGGATAAACTATAAATAAACTATACAATAATTTTTATTCATTTTTTGGAATAACTTATTATTTCTTTTACCTCTCCTTCATATTTATCCAATAGTTGAATTTCGGACGATGTAAGTCCTTTCACGAGAATTCCACGTGTTTCTTGATTTTCATCTGTTTTTAAAATGGCGGGATAATCACATCCAAAGACTCTATATCGTTTGTATCCCTTTTTATTTGTTTAATGAGATAAGGAAAATCAATTAGTTTAATGTTTGTTTACTTTTTTAATGAGTCATTTATTACTTTCAAAATTGCCGGCGTAAAATGACTATTATCGAGTGAAAATTGTTTAACTGGCCGATTTGCATTCATTACTCGATGGAAAATTTCTGGAAAGATCAGAGAGCCATAAAAGAAACAAGAAAAATCGCCCATAACGTTACTTAATATATCCCTATCAACAATAGGTCTCAATTAGTCAGTACGATAAAAAATGAGGGTGGGAGGAGAGATGTAAAAATTGAAAACTCGAACTTTATTAATTCTGCAAAAATTTGATCATCAATGATAATTGATAGATCGATTATATTTATTAAATGAGAATACCCAGATCATTTTATCTCGGGTTACATCAGTCAATAACAAATTAATGGAAATTTTCCTATCTTTTGTTTTCCAAGTTGGATGTAACGATACCTTCACATATTGAAGCTTGCCATAACGATGAGAATTCCTATTGCTCATTTTATATGAAAAACATCAGTTTATTATAAAGATAATACTAAAATAACGATAATTTTGCAAAAATTTTCATATGTTTACAATTACATGTATATCACTATATCTGGCATCAAAACTGCCAGCACTATTGCCATTTTGTTTGTTAGGAAAATCACTGAACATTATTATTGGTTAGACTGATTTTTTGCCCCGATAAGCAATTCCTAAATGCAGAGTTCCCCTAGCTATAACATGACATAAGAATCATCCTATTGAAGCCACAACATAAAACTTTAAAGACTGTGCAACGCCATAAATAAAGTTGTCTCGATCAACACTAAAAACAAAAATTTACCCGCAAAGTCCAGCTGGATTAATGATAATATGGTAGCTGAAGAACCTCCAGTAGACGACCAGGAACTTTATTCCTCCTGGGCATTACTAATACAGACGTCATTGTTAGTTGGTGCTCTTTGGACAAGTTATTACCTTCAAATCAAAAAAATTCGTGCAATCCATGAAACGGTAGTCTCAATTTTTGCTGGTGAGCTTAATTACTATTAAAAACTACATCAGATAAACCCTTTTTTTTTTTAATTGGTTTCTCACCTGGCAAAATAATGAATTTGCTAAAAAGTCATTTAAAATCAATAATAGGAATGTTTGTTGGTTTGATCATTCGATTGTCACCCGGTTCAGTAATCCAGAAAATGGTCACTTTCAATCAAGCCTATTTTTTTAATCTTCTTTTACCTCCAATTATTTTGAATTCTGGTTATGAGTTGAAACGGGTATATATATAAATATTTTTATCTCTATATTGGTAATTAAGAATTACCTCGAAATTTCTATCAATAATCTCAATCGTCGTTATACTTCTTATTTAGGATAACTTTTTCCGAAATTTTGGGACAATTCTGACTTTTGCGCTAGTCGGCACTTTTATATCGGCATTGGTTACTGGGTATATATCGATGATTAGCATTTTCTGCTTTACAATTTCTTGATTAATTAATTCTATGAATTGTATTTTTTAGGTTCCTCGTTGCTTTCCTAGGTCTCATTGGTATTGTAGCTCTCTCGTTTTTAGATTCTATGATATTCGGGGCTATTTTGTCCGCTACGGATCCTGTGACCGTGCTTGCAATTTTTCAGACTTTCAAAGTCGATCCAAAATTATACTCTGTTATTTTCGGAGAAAGTATTTTGAATGATGCGGTCGCGATTGTATTATTCGAGTATGTATTATTCATATATACATATATATGTATGTATTACTTTTTAGTTGCAAGCCTTAACCGTTTACTTTATTCCTTGCGTATTCATTCAATTGATATAAAGAACTCTAAAGCAATTTCGCGGGCAAGAATTACATTTTTCGAATATAATTCGCGGCATTGGAACTTTCTTGGGTATTTTTACAGCATCGTTGTTGATCGGCGTTTTAATTGCACTACTTTGCGCTTTGATATCCTTTTTCTATTTGATTATACATTTTTTCTGAGTTTATTAATTTTACCTCATTGATTGAGCCTTAACTGAAAAGATATATACATGTTAAAATATTCTCAGTTACATAAATATCCACCGATAGAGTCTTGCATGATTGGTTTGATTGCGTATAACTCTTATTTTCTTTCTAACGGCTTACAGATGTCTGGTGAGTTATATTGTATTGTTTGATTTTTTGATTCTACGAATGAATTAAAATTGATTTTATTTTTTAAGGCATTGTGTCGCTATTATTTTGTGGCATCACACTAAAACACTATGCCTATGATAATATGTCATTGAGAACTAAACGCACTACTAAATACATGTTTCGCGTGATGGCTCAACTGTCCGAAAATTTTATATTCATTTATTTGGGTTTGACGTTATTTACAATGAACCTAGAATATAAACCAGCTTTTATTTTCTTCACTATGGTAAGAATAAAAGTTAATTGTATCCTTGAATTGGTTAATCATTTGCTTAGTTGCTAATCTTTTGATCCTTTGGTAGATTATAATTTGTGTATCCAGATATTGTGCAGTATTTCCACTCTCGAATCTTATTAATGCTGTAGCTAGATACAGAAAGCGTGCAGAGCATCTTCCGCATGCGCATCAAGTCATGTTATTCTGGGCTGGTCTTCGTGGAGCTGTCGCATTTGCGTTGTCAGCAGGCTTGGTTCATGAAATGCGTACCACGATTTTGGTTGTGGTCGTGCTGAGTGTGATTGTTTTTGGTGGAACTACTAGTAGAATGCTCGAAATCTTACGCATTCGAACAGGAGTCGAAGATGAAGATAGCGGTGACAGTGATTACGAAGATTCTTCATTAGGAGGAAACAAATATGATGCTTTTGAAGATGTAGGTCATCATCGACATCTACGAAGTCGAGGGACTAATGGAAATACTACATTCTACTTTAGTCATTCACCGGAAAATTCTTTAGGTTCTGATGATAGTATAATATCAATTGAAAATAATGGTCTCTTAACACAATCATCTTCGGCTGCAGCTAGAGCCAAAGCTGATCAAGCACATTGGTTTATATCATTTGATAATCGATTTTTGAAACCTTTGTTTTCACGTCACAATTCTGATCAGTCATCACCTGCAAAGGAACAATGGCGGCATGAAAATCTTATTCGAAGAGGTGTAGTTGGTGGAGGTCTTCGTGTTCACCCTAGTAGCGGGTTAACTAGTCCTACTAGTCCTACCAGTCCTATCAGTCCTACCAGTCCTATTAATCCTATTGGTATTAATGTCGTGGATGATGATGATGATGATGATGATGATTCTTTTGTGGGATTAGTTGGTGGTTCACAATCAAATCCTCAACACAATAATAACAGTTCATCATCAGATAATAGTAAAACGATTTCATCTGCAGCTGCATTAAATGAGAGGGATGTAGGCGATGGGGGAGGAAACAACGGATCGGAACTTTTAAGTATTGCTGGAACGAAGTTTGAATTGCCACCAATTGATAGTGGTTCCAGTTTCCTGAATATCGCGGGTGTTGTTAGGAGCCGTAATAATAGTACGGAGAATTTATCACTTCGTTCAATAACACCCGTCAATACAAGTAACAGAAATCTGGAAACATCAACATCAGCCGCACCACACCCTACCAATCACGACAGCAATAATAGTAACAATAACAACAGTAGCCGTAGCAATATTAATCATGAACGACATGTTTCTGATGATGATGAAAAACCTTTATTGGATCTTTCTTCTAATTCTTGAAATTACATTTTGATTTGTTTCTTTGGGGGGGGGGGTGTCGAACAATTTTGGGTTGGGTAAAATTATGTTAACATCTTAATTTAAAAATTGAAATTTTTGGCTCATTTTTATTAAAGTAATAGTTAGACTGCTACAAAAAGCAGTGATATAAAAAATAATAGATTATCGAATGAACCGTAAAAATACGTTGATCATAGAAGAATAACAATGTTTATTCAAAGAAATAGATCATTATTTATACTTGTACTTAGTTGTATGATTCGTTCTAATTTTGATATTTGACCATTCGTTCAAAATCCAAATTTAATTCTCGGATATTTGTTCAAACTACCGTGGCACCACTCGCATTGCCAATCATCAATCACACGGTTTTCAAAATTATAAAAAATAAAATAAACGCAAGATTGCTGTTGCATTTAGATAAAAAAATAAAAAATTTTTACGAATACATTTCTTCACTATTGATTATTATTGATTTCGTATTAATCAGTTACACTACTTTAAATGCATCTCCTCTAAATGCATAATTCCTCCAAATGTATATTATTAAACTGAATCCATGTTGGAATTTACTAGCATATTGCATAATCTTAAATGCATAAAGATTTTTTATGGTCCCGCCGAACTTCTAAATGAATAAAATTACATGCGTGATTAGTAACCCCGATTTAGAATGGCAAGATCGGCTGAATTGCACTCTAAAGTAGAATCTCGATCCATTTTTATTGGTCTGTAAAGTACATGTGATCAGGAACCGAATCACAGATTATGCATTCTGCTGTGTTTAGTTACTACGATGTGCACGCATTTTGTAATTAATCAAAACATAATTAGGGTAATATATGCCGATCATTAATTAAAAGATTTTCGCAGATCATTTTTTTTGTTTCCGAAAGAATGACAGCAAGATTTAAATCTTATACACAGCAAGATTTAAATCTTATACGTTTTTTAAAATCAAAATGATAAAAATGGACCTATTATCTTATAAAAAACCTTAAGAGCTATCGATTAAAAAAAATTGATTCAAAATGGTCATGAATTTATTGAGAAAAAGTAAATTATTGTTTCGTTGGCCAAAAAGCTTATGTATAATTAGTGACACTTGTAAATTTCCGAAGTTCTAGTGCTTATTCCACAGATCTTAAAAAATCCGCAATTAATGATCGGCATGTATTACCCTAACTAATCTCTCGCTACTTTGTATGTGCATCCGAACATTAACTTCCACGTGCTACGCCTCATGTCGCTTGTATGGGGAAGATGCTTCAGTTCCCACGATGTGCATATGTGATAATTGGAGTCAGTTTCTGCGATGCGCATCTGATCTTTTTTGTGAAGAGAAAGTAGGCAAGGCAATAAAAAGGTTACTGGATGATGATGAAGTCTACTCGAGTATTTAAGGATCTCAGGGAATGTAAGAGAACCTCGCTGAAATCAACGATAACAATATTATATAAATGATTTCCAAGTATACTTTGATAAGAAGTATTTGGTAGTAGAAAACGAGTTCAATATAATGATGTTGATTAAAACGACGAAGATATGAAAAATGAAAATGATGATAATAATCATGAAGAAGAGCGGGATTCTAAGGTCACGGTAAGGAATTACGCGTCGCTGAAAATCAATTCTTATAAACGATCATGGTATGGTTAGCATCAACGAGTTTTCCAATTGAGTAGGCTCCTTTCAAAGCTCTTGAAGTGGTCGATTATTGATAGCAAGATTTTTAAAATATTTGTCCATTAACAATTTCAAGGCCTTCCTTCTATCTTGATAGTCTTAAAGTAGTGCTCATGGAATATACTGATAATAGGTTTCCAAAATATCAGTATTCTGTAAACGTTGCTTGAAAACAAAAAATTGAAACGGTGCTTTCCAGGGTGGAAACATAGCAAACACCTCCTCCTCGAACGCTCTCTCGAAACGTGTACAAGGGTACGTGGGTCTTCTCTAGTAAGAGCACAACGAGAATTTGAGCAAATGAGTGGAGGTATATTCCGACAGTATTGTCAGCGATCATATCAGTGCTTCTATATGGTCTCGGGACGCGCGTTAAGATTCAAATCCATTTACCCCGAATCAAGTTCGCAAATATCGGATTCCACGAAAATAGTAAAATGGTAAGGAGAGTTGGCATAAAACGCTTTTGATCTAATTGTGTATCTTCAAGATTGATGGGTTAGCTAGTAAGAATTCACTGGAATGATCGGCAACTCAAACCTTCCGAAAAATCTTGAGAATTAAACACTAAGTTTATACCTGAGAAAGACATCATTGAAAATCTTTAGTAAAACGGTCAGATAATTGATTAGCTGCTTAATAATTTGATGGTAAAATTTATAATAATTTATAATGTGATAGAATAAACCAATTTCCGAATTGCCAAATGATGTAATATGGGTAGATTTTTGATTCCTGCAATCAATTAAAGTTGGCCAAAAATTTGGGCAAATTTAAATCGAATTTTTTGATTGGGTCTTGGTGCGAAATTTAGGGGTGTCCCCAAAAAATGATTGGATTTCTGATTTGTCCTGCTGCGCCATATAGGTTATATAATTAGGCATATTTGGCATTGTGTAAGAATAGTTTTTGTCTCATTGTTTCAAAAAGATAAAATAAATATATCTGCAAGGATAAAGTCTTAGATAATAATAAGGATATTATACGATATCCACTTTAGCACATTAAATAATAATATACCAATCCAATCCAATCCAATCATAGGGTTACATGTTCGTTCGCCTTCTATTAACGTAGCTAACATCATAAATCAATATAACGATAATAATTAAAAGATCATTAATCACCTGCCGCGCATCATCATAAATCAACAACTCCAATTACATTACAAACTACTAAATATTTCGCCCCATTTTTCTTTTTTTTTTCATTTTATTATTACCACATTTGCGTGTGTCATATATATATTACTATTTATTATTATACTTATACATACAAATATAAATATATGAAACGCAAGAATTTAGTAACTTGTTGACTCATAACACACAACTCACATACATATAGTCACACTTTTCTCCTCAGTCATCAACACACACACACACACCCACCCACCACTTTTAACTCTTCTTTTCTTTTGACTGCAAAAAAGAGAAACGATGCCCTTTCCTTATTATTCAATATCGAAAACATTTTTATATTGAATCAATAACAAAAAAAAAACCAACGCACAAAACAACTAAACTGTTATTAACAAATAACCATCACACTGTTACAACCACACAATATATAAATATATACTGTGTATATTTATATATATCAATACTTTCTTTTTGTTTCTCTTGTTCTCTTTTTAATATTCTCTCCTATACTTTTTCACAATAATTATAATAATAATAAATATTATTATTATTATTAATAATTTTAATAATAATAATAATAATAATAATAACAATAGTAGCACGCAAATATAATATATTGTTATATATTCCTACTTCCTCACTCTTTTACATTTCACCATCAACAACGATTCCACCATCTCACTACCCTAAAAAGAAAAACTTTCGTTTCTCTCAATTTGCACCCTCTAAAGTTTCTCATCTGCAGCAGAGAATAAAAGATAACAACCAAACATTTTCAAAAATAACAAGTGTAAAAATTGTACAAAATCTTTGTTCATATATATTTTATTTCTTAGACTTATTTTACTAGAGCTATTTTTTCAAATATTATCTCTCCCATATTAATAATAATAATAATAATAATATAATCTATAATAATATAATCATAATAGTAATACTAATCCACATTGTCTCTTTATCTTTTTGCATCGTGGTCTCTATTTTCTTTTCTTTTTTTTTGCTTCACGTTTTTTCCCAGTATATTTTTCCTTGATCACTCACTCTCACATTTTAACACTACGAACAAAAAAATAAAAAATTTTTATTTTCATAAAACTCCAAAAAAATCCTTATTATTAATAATCACTACTTTCAACTGCGGATTTTAAAAAAAAACGTCGTTATTAAGATGATGCACCGCATGTCACTGGACGAGCAGGCATCCAACAAGAGTAAAGACTTGCATCAGCCTAAAGCAAAAAATCAACCGCAGGGACAGGTATGTTGTTATTCTATTAGTTAGTAAATTGGGTAATTGGTTGGTTGTTCGGCATTATCAGCATTAGTCAGTACTACGCAAAAACGAGTTGTTTGTTGGTGTGAGATCATTCTGCAAACTTTTCCTTTTTGGGTCAAACTGCGTAAATTTTCTAATAAGTTAAAAAATTGGTGTTCACTCTTTATATATCTCGTGTTCGGATTCGGCGGTACTTGTCGTTCGCTATCTTTTCTTACCTTTATTTCTCTCATTTTATTCCCTCCTTTTAATAATAAATATATATATATATATATACACAACACACACACACACATATATATATATGCACACACGTATATATAATATATATATATATATATATCTCCACAAATATCACAAATACACTTACAACAGCAACTGGCCGCATTATTGAGAGGAAAACTAGACCTTACCGATTACGACATGTTTTCTGACCAACCAAAAGATATTGGAAATCGTTCAAGCAGTGCGCCTCCAACTCAAGCTGCAAATCCGCTTGGTCGGTTTGACCCCTCTGAGTTAGATAACTCCTCCGTGCCCGATCTACGATCCGACCCAGACTACGCAAACTATTATTATCTAAATTCTCGACATGACCCACGACTACCGGCTCCCTTATACACTCCTGGTCAGTCTTGGCCGACGTGGACTAATAGTGGTAACGGTGTCAGTGCTAGCAGCAATGGAGGAGGCGGTGGTGTTGGTAATGGTGTAGGGGGCAGTTTAAATTCTAAACCCATTGCAGCGAACGGATCATCATCTACTGCGGACAAATCAAAAACCTTAGAGCGATTCCGAGGTTTAGGTATGCAATGTTCATTTCTAGATACTAAAGATATTTTTAAAAATTAAACATGATGTTTCTTTTCAACATTTACGATCCATAAAATCAACTTCCGAAAATACTTACATCCAACTAATTTTATGGTTATTAGGAGACGCTGATGACGAGTTTCAGCGTGATCACCCATTGGATCAAAGTCTAGAGCCTGAAACTCACTTAACTCTAAGTCAACCAGAATACTCTACAGATACATCAACATCTAGTCTAAAATTTGATCCTTATAATGGCCAAAATACCACCAGCAGCGCTGCGTCTCTTTGGCGATCAGAGTTAGCATCACCATCTTCACAAATAAATGATCCACATTCTCCAAGTAAACGAAAAAATTTGGTGGACATGATTCAAGAGGTATGATAGAATATCTATTAATTAATCTAATTCAATAAAAGGATACTATGCATATAAAAAGAAAACATAAGCGCAAGTAAAATATAGATATATATACATGTATATTTTTATTTATTTCGTTTGATCTCTTGCTGCAAAAAAAGACGAAGCTTTTACTTCGTCATATTTATACATTTGAGATGAGAAAAAGAAATACTAAATATATGAGTTCATATCTACAGGATTTTCCACGCACACCTTCTCCACTTTTCGCTCTTCAACGCCAGCGTGCGGCGGCGGCGGCAGCTGCGGCAGCGGCTACTGCGAATCACCACCAACAACAGCAAGTTGAGAATGATGCGTTCAATCTTCACGAGATGCGGAATTCCCTCGATTTGGATTACAATAATTTACGTAGTTCAACCAGTGAAGACGATCATTTAAGTTCCGTTGTTAATGTAGCTTTGGACGAGGATCATCTTGATCATCGCTTACCAACCGCGCCTTATCGAGGTCCTTCACCTCCGCTTCGTAGTAAATTCGATCCTCCACCACGAGCTTCTTCTACTCCACCAGCGCCAAACCATTTCCGTAATCAAACTATTAATTTTGCTCAGGAATTTCATGGCGACTTGTCGCATGCTGATTTACTCTATAACTATCGGTTTGATGGAAATGTAAGTCTGAAATGAAATTTTTTTGATTTCGATAATTTTTTGCCTCGTCAATATTCAATGATTTCTTTTACTTGTCAATTTTGACATGAAGGATGAGTATGCTGATGCCTTACAACAAGCTCAACTTCGACAGCAAGCACTCAAACAACAGCGAATAAAGTTGCAACAATCACAATATAGCCCTTTCTTTAACGATAGTTCGTCTACAAGTGGATTTTCCCAATATGGACTTGGTTAGATCCTTTTTGTAATATTATAGAATTCGAAATGACAATCTATGATACTAATTTTAATGAATTCATGAATAGGTGGAAGTCCTCCTCTTGGATATCCTAAAGGTATAGCCAAAGAATCTATGGATAAGTACATGCTACAGCGTGGGGGTATGCTTTTGCTCTGTATGCGTGTGTCTATTATTTTTATATTAGCTTTGTCATTAACTTTACTCTTATTCTATCTTTAAGATATGTACGGCCCAGTATGGGACCCTCGTGAAGAAGATGTAATGAGCCGAAATTTACTTAGCGCCGACCTCGCATATCCGCGCCCTAACAGTTCTTTAGGTTTAAATTCACGCGGATATGACTATCAGAAAGCTCTTCAACAACAACAACAAATGGGTTTAGGTGCAAGTGGACTTGTTGGCCGAGGTGATTCGATCCTATCGTCCGAATATGGCGGCGTCTCAAAAAGCAATCAATTTTACAGCCCTAGTCTAAATGGTAGCAACCTAGGTTCAGTAGGTAGTCTCACTAGTACTCCTCTAAACGCGCAGCGAGGTGTGAGTAATATTGCAGAAAAGAATCTACGATTTCAGTCACAATTATTGATGCATCGGGAGCGACTCCAACAACAACAGATGATGATTGCACGCGAACAAATATTACGACATCACCATTCTGCCGAATATTTGAATGGAATTTCGGGATTTGGTGGGATTTCTAGTGGTCGTCGTAGTCATGATCTTAGTTCGAGCATTTCCGATCCAGGTCACGCGATGATGCGCAGTCCTTTATTAGAAGAATTCAGAAATAACAAAAATAAAAAATATGAACTTCGGGTAACTAATTAATTCCAATCTTAAAAATTCCGTTTTCACCTTTGCTTTTACGAAGTTATTTTTGTAACGTTGTATTTTGAACTTGAATTAGGACATTGTGGGCAACATTGTAGAGTTCAGTGGTGATCAACACGGGTCACGCTTTATCCAACAAAAACTTGAAACAGCCAATAGCGAAGAAAAGCAATTAGTTTTCGATGAGATTCTTCCCAACGCTTTACAATTGATGACTGATGTATTTGGAAACTATGTGATTCAGAAGTTCTTTGAACATGGTAACCAGATGCAAAAGACCATCTTGGCTAAACAAATGGAAGGTCATGTCTTGTCATTAGCTCTTCAAATGTATGGTTGTCGTGTAGTTCAAAAGGTTTGTCATCTATTTTTATTATCCCGACGATCGAGTCATTCGTCATCAATTGATGGAAAATTTTTTATTATAATCTGATAGGCGCTAGAACACGTTCTTACCGAACAACAAGCTACTCTGGTCAAAGAATTGGACGGAAACGTGCTCAAATGTGTTAAAGATCAGAATGGCAATCACGTAATTCAAAAAGCTATTGAACGCGTACCCGCCGAACATATTCAATTTATCATAAATGCTTTCCATGGACAAGTTTATAATCTCGCGACTCATCCATATGGTTGCCGCGTTATACAACGGATGTTTGAGCATTGTACTGATGAACAAACCGTAGGCATTTTTCTTACATTTTCACCATCATGATAATAATATTTCAGACATTCCCTCTTAACATTCTTGTATTGTTTACAAACAATCCAGAAACCACTATTGGAAGAGCTCCATCGATATACTCCGAATTTAGTGCAGGATCAATATGGAAACTATGTAATCCAACATGTATTAGAGCGTGGAAAACCCGCCGATAAATCAATGGTTGTAGCAAAAGTTCGTGGTAATGTCTTGCAAATGTCCAAACACAAATTTGCCAGTAATGTGGTGGAGAAATGTGTCGCCTATGGTAGTAAGCGGGATCGTCAGCTGTTGATAGAAGAAGTTATCACTACAAAACCTGATGGGTAATTATTAAGTTTCAATATTCTTCCCCGATAATCATTAATTATTTTTATGTAACAATATAAATAATAAATCAACATTCTGAATTTCTATAGAACGTCGCCATTAATCTCAATGATGAAAGATCAGTATGCTAATTATGTAGTTCAAAAGATGCTAGATGTGGTGGATGGTGAACAACGCGACCTTTTGGTTGCCAAAATCAAACCCCACTTGCAGTCTTTAAAGAAATACACGTATGGCAAGCATCTGATCTCAAGTAAGTTTTCTGAATCCTGTATGTATAAATACTTTCTTGAATGGTCTAAGGGGAGGTCGATGTGAATTTTTGTCATTATGATAACTCTCTAATCTCTCTAATGATAATAATTATTACCCGATAAAACAGAGGTTGAAAAAATTCTTATTCTCAACGAAAATCAATCATCATCATCATCTCAATCATCATACTCATCATCGACCAATCAGCAACAACAACATGATGGCTCTTCTGAAACGACATTTTCTTGTTTAAACTCACCCACTGGCTCTCGTACATCTTTTGGCACTGGTTATACGACACCTGTCGTTCCCACTTCGCCTGTCATCAGTTCTTATGATTAATTTACCCGATCGTCAAATATAAGCATCGATCGTGTTGATAATTCCTTTAGAGTTTTCGATATTTTTGGGCTTTTTACATCAAAAATATTATATATTTTTTCATCTCTTTTCTTTATTATTTTAATATTTTTTTGTGGATGTTTGCAAAAAATGGGATGATCTTTTCATCTCGCAACACACCCAATTTGCTATTATTAATACAATTTCTTACCATATTCCCTTTAAATATAAAACACCCACCACCCATTTTTTATGTCTATAGCGTTTTATTTGATTCTCTTTTGTAAAAATTTCATTTTACATATTATAAATAGTTTTGTTATATAACTTTTCTTTTTTCTTCTTTGATACCTTTTGTAAACTTTACGATGCATCATTTCCTCTGCTGCAACTAAATATACGGATAACACGAAATATTTTCAATTATACTATATTAGATTATCAGATAGAAGAACAAAGCCTCTCAGACAAGTTCATCATTTACAAGAGAGAGTACGCGTGTGGTGATGGAATTGTAGTATATTTTTTTCGTTTTTCATCATCATCTTTTTTTTATTATTATTATTATTATTTTGTGAGCTTTATTATGGGGAAAAGGAGATTTCTGTAGGATTATTTTGACTAGTTCTCGCTCTTGACGACTTTGATATTCTCCCCCTCACCTCTATTTGTCTTTCTTATCTCTCTATTGTGTCTTCTTAATTTTGTTGCACGCTTTGGATATCTTTTTTAATACATAGACCGTGTGTTATATATACATATACACATAAAAATTATAATTTGATGTAATTATAATATTTATTTTTTATATATATTTCTAATTTTTTTTATAATTCTTTTTAATCTAATACTAGTAGTTAATCCTTATATATATATAAATATATATATTTTTTTAAATAGTACTTAATACTTTTTTTTAATGTTTAATTTTGCATACTGCTATTTATTACTGCTAATAGTCATTAATGAATTCTTCTATTTCTGAAGAATAAGAAACCAGAGGGATTTATTTGGTTAATAGTGTACCCATCAAACGACATTTCGCTTGATCATTATACTAACAGTACGAAAAAGGCGACTCTTGCAAACCCAATATTGGAAATGTATGGCAAAGCACCAAATCATTGAAGTCGTTCGCTGCGGTGTGATTATCACAATACATGGTAGCACCAGACAAATACGCGATTTTTTCAACGCGTAAGTTAAATAAACTTCGAGTTAACCTCTCATCTAATGAAGGTTAATGATAGTCATATTATATATATACATAATACGGTAATCCCCCGTGTTCGCGTATTTTCTATTCGCGTTAGAAGATAAAAAACGGAGACCGTCTTGCCAAGTGAAAATAATAATTAAATGGAGGAGGCACTTGCTAAACCAAGAAATGTTACTCATACCCTCTATAAGCTTTATAGCTGGCTGGAGATGGGTACTATCGACCTTAGTCCTGAGTTTCAGAGAGGTTTGTATGGTGAAAGGAAACCTTTGTTGTTATTTAATTTGATAGACTTGTAGCAAAGTATTAAAATGAAATAGTAACTACACTGTATATCAAGAGAAAATATAAAGTTGTGTTCTAGATTATTATCATTGTTATTATTATTAAAGAGAAAAAAATGTCCATTTTAATTTTGGCTTTTTTTATATGCAATTACTTTCTAAAAATAATTATTATTAGATGTTGTTTGGACTGGTATGTGAATTATTTTACAAGATAAATGCAGTGTTATTATTGATTTTCTGGGGTTAACAATAATCTGCCATAGCTGCCAAACAAAGTTACCTGATTGATTCTGTATTCAAGAACTTTTACATTCCTCCTATTATCTTTTCGTGCAAAAAACTTGATGATAAACGATTTATGCGTGTATGTATTGACGGAAAGCAAAGATTAACATCAATAAAGAGGTATCTTACAAAACATTCATTTTGATCAAGTAATTAATTAATTGGGATAAATGTTCATGATTATCTTTAAGAAACTTAATTTTGAATTTCTTATCTCTAGATTTATTGATAATGAAATTCCTCATATTAAACTTTTTGGTGGTAGTAATCAGAAATATTATTACAAAAAACCAAAAGTTCCAAGGTCTGATGTTATTACAGAGATGGAAAGAGAACTTTTTGATTGTTCTGAATTTGTTTGTGGTATGTCATTAATTAGTTGCTCTTAATCAAATGGTATTTATAATGAGAAATATATAGTATTTATATTTTGCCTAACATTCATTAAATATTAAATTTATCTAGTGGAATATTATGATTTAAATTTAGAGCAAGAACAAGAAATATTTAGCCGTGTCCAACTCGGAATGCCTCTTACACCTGCTGGTTTGTAATACAGACAGACAGACATGAACTGCGCCTTAAATTATCAAAAACATGCCTATCATTAACATGATTTTATTATTTCGAATAGAAAAATTGCAAGCTATCAGCAGTCCTCTATCCGAATATGCACATCAAATATATAATGACTATCCTTCCATAACTAATGTTATGGACGTAAGTCGTGGGCGTCCGTTCCAGTTGATCACTCAATCATTACACATGATTGAGATTCAACCACCAATCTTTCGGGCAACTCCAACCACAATTTCCAAATATCTGAAGGAGGATCGTCCGGTACCACGAAAATTACTTAGCACCTCAAAACATGTCTATGATACCCTCGATTCACTAATCAAGGCAGATGTAGAACTCCTTAATCGTCACAACAAGCTTGCGCCGATCGAGTTTGTCTTTTTGTGCTTTATGATTGCGAAATATCCCGAGTTATCCATCCCTCAATATCAGTATTATATTATCGCGATGAAGAAATTTGTCAGGAAGAAGCATGATGACATTAGATTCAATAGTAAGGTCTACGAGACGCTCAAGGAATTCGTCGATAATATGGATAATAGGCTCGATTTTGAATCTCAAAATTCTTTTCCGCATGGGTACAAGAGAATCAAGCGTGAAATTGAAGAGTAAATGGGAAATTTTTGCAGAGGGATGATTATAATTCTTGTATATACACAATGTAAATATTTCTTTTTTACTTTTTTATTACCTTGGAAAATTTTTTGGACTATTCTTCTAGTTTAATTTTTATTTAGATTTTGATATATCAATTTCAATCATTATATATATGTTTGTGTGTATATATACAATATTATAATACCTTATTATCACAATCCATAGTAATATTAGATAGAATAGAATAAGTGATAACCCGCCTTTTTATTCACTAGAACCCTCCAGCCGGAGGAGTTGTAGATTTCGGCGTAATCGACAAAACCTGATACACGTTCCCCATTCCAATTGAATCCGTCAATCGTTTATAAGATAAAATCAAATCTTGGTGTCGTGATGGAGGCGTTTGTTCAAGCAACATTTTCAGACGCAAGCTGATTCCCATAGAATGTAAAAAGTGCGCTTGGGTGATTGGACCAAAAACGTCCACTTTATAAGTGTATATATGTCAATTATTTTAATAAATCAGATAAAAGTGCTGTCTGACCTCCATACAAGCTGGTTACCTAGTCAAAAAATCTGAAAGTGTGACTGTAAATTGTAGAGGTTTTTTTAAGGCTAAGAGTTTTTACAATGATGAGATTATATGTAGGTGATTGATTATATGGAGATCAGACTTTAAATTAAAATCATTATTTATTTTGTATGTTTACCTAGATCTTTGCACGCGTTATGAAGCAATTTGAAATTCACATCAGCACTTAAATCTGCTTCACCTGGACTACTCATCAAATCCACAAACCTATGTTGTTTTATTGCCTGTGTTTATTAATTCAGAGAAAAATGAATGCAAAAATAGGGACATCTAATGCAAGATAACGATAAATGAAGTCAACTCACCCTTAATGTATTCCCTTGAGCGAAATTTTTTCCATAATCGATAATAAGGCAAGATCCGCCATTTAGATTCACACTTTTGGCGATCTGATTTGCAATCCGCCACGCATCTGGCGCGATTTCAATGCGATCACCTGGTATATAGAGACCACCGTAATCTTTGAGGAGTGTCTCTAAGATAAATAGGCTTGGTTTCCGCTTTCGAGAGACGATTACGCGAAAATGGTATGGACTTTTTTGAAAGGAAGGAAAATAAGAAATAAGCAGGATGCTTGATAATTCGTTATCTTTTTTACCTTTGATCTGTTTCGTCGATATCTATCATCAATTCGCACCATCCCCTTTTTATAAACTTATGTAATTTTATCAATCAATGAATAAATTAGGAGCAAAATTTCGAAGAAAATAAACTGCGAGAAAGCACAAACAAAATCGAGACTTTCTAAAATTCTTCATTAAAAGAAGTTTAGATAATCGTCTTATCGACCTAGATACTTTGATGTACACATACCTCGAACCAATAAACAGGAAGAGCATCAAAAAATTCATGTGCAATGATCATTGGCCATCCATCTTCATTATTGACAATTTAAAGATCAATCCAGCCAAATTTCAGTGAAATCAAAAAAAAATCAAAAAGTATAAAATAGAAATACCGGGAACATCCTCAAATGCGTCATGCCAATAAAAATTTAATCCAGGCCGAATCACTTGTTTCTTAGCGTTAACAGTATCAGTAGTAGTATTATTAATCATATAAGGCTTTAATTTTTCACGTTGAATTTCACGTAGTCGTGGACTAGCCTCGATCAAATGAACTCCACTAATAGAATTGTAGCATTCATGAAAATTTTGAAGCGCCTACAAGATTTATCCGATTGAGCGAAATGATAATTAATTTAAGATCACCGAAATTATTGAATTTACTCGAATCATATCATCTAGCAAGGTTCCTCTTCCCGGTCCGAATTCCACTATTCGCACATTTTTTGGCTTGCCAAGATTTATCCACTGATTCACAAACCATACCCCGATCAACTATTGATTTAACCATCAAAGGGTAAAAACAAAGAATCCTCCGTAATATTTCAAAATTATATTCGACATGAACTTCACCTCGCCAAACATTTGACTGATTTCAGGAGAAGTGATAAAATCTCCTTTTACACCAAACGCTTCACGTTTCATATAGTATCCACCAATAGGATTCATCAGGACTTCTTTCATATATTGGTAAATTGACATTGGGCCATTTATCTAAAAAGACTAACGACAAAGAGATTTTTTTTCCGTTATCTACAGTCATAATATTTAGACAGAAATAGGCAGGATTTGTGTGTGACCTTGATTGAATTTTTTAGGTATTCCACAAGAGATGTGGGTGCTTCTTTATTTGTTAAAGTTTTTTTAGCAGTTGAATAGCAACATTTTGATACTGTTTGTGATAAAGTCCTTCTTGCATGAAATCTGTTGAGAAAATTACGTATCATGATCTAAAAAAGTGAGAGGCAAAAAATTTTTGATTTTCGGATCTATATAGCATCATCGTAACTGGTAAGGTACATGCGTGAATCTTTTGAAGCCATGAGTAACTTTATCGCGGAAGACGACTTTGATAGCAAATTATTGGAGCGTAGTAAACTTATCGTGGTAAATTAAAAAAATCAAGCTTAAAATACAATAATGATTAAATGTATCATTTTTTGCAGATAGAGTATTAATATTTTTCTAATGCTGCTAACAAAAGCCGTCTGTATCGATAGGAAATGTTCCTCAGCTAACAGTTGACCTGTTATTAACAACGCTCGATGTTAAGCGGGTCGGTTTTATAGATGATGATAATGTAATACCCGTGGCTGGTAAACGCGAAGACACGCAAGCTGTTGGTATCACTGTCGCCATCGAAGGCAAGTTCCCGCAAATATCTGAAAGTTTCGAGCGAAAAATAATTCTCTTAAAATCATTAATGAAAAAAGAATAAACTGTTTCCATCTTGTTTAGTATTTCAATCAAAAGATCAAAAGTGGACTTTGATCCAACAGCGTGCTCCATTGATTCAGGTGAGCATTTTTTCCTCGGGATCTAAATAATCTAAAATCAAATCCAATCAAATTGTTAAACACTTTTACATATTCAAAAAAAAATTTATTAGAAACACTTGCTTCGATTTGCAACGAATTTGGTTTCCTTTATTGAGAGATTTAAATTTTCAGAAGTAATAACATTGGCAAGCGCAGACGCAACTCGACGAAATGATGCTCAATTAACAGGGTATTTTTTTAATTCTGGCCTTCTAATTCATAGAATAAAAGTTTACTTAATTCCTTATCTTTTTAGCACACCACTTCGTGTCCTTACCACTTCATCGATCTCAAATGATCTCCAAAAAAGAATCACATCACTAAAACTAAAACAACTCGAGTATCTCAAATCTGAAGATTTTATAGAATCACATGATGTCGGTTCTACCAACACAGATGCTGATGATGTGCCTCGAATTCCTGGCGGAGGCGTTACAAGAAATTTCTATAAATTGGCCAAAGAAAAAGGTCTGCCGCTACTTGTGCTCATTTGGTTTGCGCTCGAAGGAGGTAAGAATTATCGTGAATTGATTTTTTCACTTGATCTTATAAAGTTCTGTCATTTTTCAGATAACACCCTAGATGCTATTCAACTCGCCAATCACGCGAACTCTTTATTAGGATTGTTTCCTTCTCAAGGTATATCTTTTCTATCTCTGATATTAACAAAGAAATTTTTGCCTTACCTCTCTCGTTGATTTAATGATTATAGATTCCGTCGCTTGGAAAACACCTAAAAGCTGGCAAGGAATTTTTGGCAAACCCTTTGATAGAGATTTATATTAAATAGTATATTATCCAATATCCGGATTAGTACGTCAAAATTTGAAAAGGATATGTGACTTTCGTCACCGCAAAAAGAAATCTTGTTTTTTTTGATGATTAAAGTACCAAAGTCACGTGATAGCAAGATTTTCGTTAAGACTAATGCCCATCTAAATATTAAAAAAGATCACATTATCTCATAATAGTGTGGGAAGGTTGTGCAACTTTGTACTTCCCCAAATCTAACTTATATAGGATAAAAAAAGGTTCCGATCAGATCCCACAATTTTTCTTTGGAAGCGTGCTTTGAAATTTGCCCAACTCCGCTCCCTTACCCGTTCCTTTTGAGTTCCTATTATTTTGATGAACTGAATTGCATCAATGAATATAGTATAATTGTGCATGAGCTAATTAAAAGTTATCTGTGATTGTAAATGAAATGATATAATTAATATCTTTGTCATTCAAAAATGAAATTTTGAAGTCGTGAATTATAAAACCCATGCTGTCGCTATGTGTTAACGGGATTAGATGAATAAGAAACGAACCATTTTCTTTTTTTAATATCTATTATGTAAGGTTACAATAAGACAATGAATAAAAATAAAGTTTAAGATTAATTAATTGTTTTTTCTCACCAAATTTCGAGAATAGTTAATTTTGGTTACCAATTTTTTAATTTTTCTATTTTGGGCTATTTGAAACCTTCTTTTGGTCATTATATAACGATAACACGATAACAGTAATTTAACCTTTATAAATGATCACGTAAGTTTAACGATCATATGTTGGTAAATAAATGCTAGATGATTAAATCTCTTTAAGATACAGCCACAAAGAGACACATATCAACATTCTCAAATAATTAAGAAGGAATGGGGAGAAAGAGATGTGACCTCATTTGGAGTTCTTTTTACTAATGTTTTGGGAACCAAAGAAGAATATGTTCATCTCATCTCTGATGGTTTTTTTTCGAATTTGATATAACGAATTCATGCCTGCATTTTGCATGAATTCATGTTCTCATAAACACCAATAGAATAATTTTTCCTATAAATTTTCAGTTTCATGGTAATTATACTTATTACATTTGTTAAATACTGACTGAAAGTATCCTATAGAAGACTTCAGGGGCATTTAAAAAAGCGAATCGATTTTTTAGCATGTGGTTGTAATTCTTTTTTGCATTATCAGGTGATATTTCGACGGATATATCGATATTGTTTGATAGATGGCGAGTAGGTGATTCTTTATATATGTTCTAGACACCACCATTACTTTCACTGCTGTACCGAAGGTTGCCATTAGAAGCTTTTACTAAAACCGACTGTGATTGCTATTTCGGTATTCGAAGTTTAACACCTCCCCCAGGTATCAAATGTGTAACGATATAGAAATTCTGATCAAATTTTCTTGTAATACGAATCTACATGACGTTAAAACGAATTCTACCCTCAGGATTTGGGCGATTAAAAGAAAGCCCATCAGGTTTTTTTCTGGCGTTACACGTAACACGCATGTTAAAGAAAAGAATCGTACCAAATTTCGCTATATATAGGTGTGAGACTTGAAATACATTTTTGTTAGAGTTATCGCAAATTTTTTTCCTGATTTGGATAAAAATTCCCGAACACGGAGGGGACGATGATGATTATCATCACCATTCTTTTATTATCTTTAATCAAAGAAGCGTTTAACAAAAATTGAGTTGTCGTACGATAACGTGTTAAAGCGTGTGTGTTTATGAAAGTACGAAAAAATAAATCATGTGTTATCGAACCTATAGGATCGTACAGCTGACATAAAAAAGTTTTTGGAAGAAAATCCAGGGCTGTGCTTATCTTTTGGGTACAAAAGAATTATTTATTTAGGAAAGCTATAGTGTAGTCTTACAAAAGAATTATTTATTGTTATTGTTATTATTATTATTATTATTATTATTATTATTATTATCATCATCATCGCTACTATTTGTTATCATCGATAGATAATGAATCATTGATTGAATAAATTATGTGTATGTGGTTTACGATGATTGAGAGAACACTATTCTATTATTGACCATCGAGGTACAGGCGGGGAGAAAATTATCGAACACAAAAAATAAAACACATAAAATGAAGCCAATTATTCTTCCGATAATTTACCCCAACTTTTTTTTTTCCTTTTCGCTGCTCTCGCTTGCCTTTCTCTTCTTATTCATTGACCAACGTGTGCATCTTTTTGTGTTTGTTTGCATTGTTGTTATTTCCTTTGCGTGGGAAATCTACAATCCATATCATATCATTATTGTTGTTTATGCACAAATAACAATAATTTTCATCGAATATTGGGCACAAAATAATCACAAACAATTTGATAACTTCCATGTTAAAACACATTGTCCATCGTGTCAGATGAGAATTATACGACCGTAATATATACAAGAAAAGGATGCTCTTCTCCTTAAATGCATGCAAGAAGTTAAATTTCTGAAAAAAAAAAATTGATATTTTCACCTCCATCGAGTCGAAAATAAAGAAAATTCGTGCCACGTAATACAAAAAAAATTGAACCAAGAGTTTACCAAAAAAAGAAAGAATAAAGGTAATCGTAAATCCACATTTTAAACATACATACATACCTGCATGCATGTATGCATGCAGACGAAATATAATTACAAGCATTTATTATTATTATTATTATTATTAATTTCAAACACGTACACAATAATAAAAATTAAGGGATAACAGAAACACATACGCATAAGAAGATGCAAAGAAGCATGTTTATGTGATTGAAATGATTTATTATATACATGTTGAACGTTAGTTAATTATATTTAATTGGGTACTGGTTTACTGGTTGACTTATTTGATTGATTGACTGATTGGCGGGGTGGCAATTTATAATTTCGCATTATTCATTCATTTTCATTCATCAAAACGAGGAGATATGTTTATCTCTATGAAGAGATTCGGCCTTCTTCGTCCCAAAATCTCATTATCAGATTCAGACTCACATGTTTATCATAAAAGAACGAGAGTCACAAGAAAATACTATTCAAATGAGAGAGATTACTATTCTTATTTTTTTGTTTATTGTGGGGAAGGCGAATAAACAAAAACTATTGCATATCTTTTCTTTGTTTCGCTCTTCATGTGTGAAAATCGTTTCGTTTGATGCTGGTCTCAGAGATGGGCGGGAAAGTCAATTGGTTGGGAAACAGGAAATTCTCACGAACAAGATTATAAATTGGCTGACTGACTATCTAACTTTACGAACTCTGGCTGTAGTGGGTGGGAAGAAAAAAAAAAAGAACGCACTAATACTTTAAATTTTTGTCATCTTTAGATTCGGGCGTGAAATGAAGATCCCCCGTTTCCCTATTTAAAATCACTTGATCACTGGTTCCATTATGATAATGTTATAATGCTATAATGCTTGAATGCTTAATGAAGTTCGATCTTCTTTTTAAAGAAGTACGAGAATTTCGAAAGGTTGTTTCACCATTATCTGTTGCCCACCAATTGCTTGGCATTATTTGTCGAGTCGGTTGGTCAAAAAATTGGTGATGAAGAATTATCATTTTTTTTCTGTTGGGAAGGATAACTGACATCCTTTCTTAAAATAACATTCATTCTTTGCATTCACGAAAAAAAATTTTTCCACAGAAAATCTCATCATGCTATTATGCATGTCATCGTCAGAAAAAAAAATAGTGAGCATCGTAAACACACATTATTCGGTGATGGATCGAAATAATTGGCCGAAGAATCCATTTTCATCTTCCCATGATGTCATTGGGACCAGGCGCGAGGTCTTTGTTGCTACTTTTTTTATTTATCTGTCATTCATATAAATTTTTAGATTACCTTGTTTAAACCCGATGTTACCCGTAAAAAAAAAATCCATGGAAGAACAATAGAAAAAGAAAAAATGGGTGGGTTAGTGCTTGTGCGCCCGTGTTTCAATATCTAAAGGTGGTGATAATATATTCGGGGCATGCAAGCAAAAAGAATTTCAGGGGATTCAGGAAATTTTCGATTTCGAGCTAAATTGCATAGAATTTATTGGTCGAGATTGTTGAATGCTCGCGAGGCCGATCCATTCTATTCTTGGCTAACCAACAAACATTCGACAAAGGACAACATGTCATTAATTAGGAAAACATTAAAGTTAAAAAAGAAAATGCACCCGGAATTACATTTTTTAAAAAGAGATACTAAAATAGGGAAATCATTTTTTTTTTGCCACACTCGATGCATAATCGCTTGATAGATGATTGAAACAATGCTCGAGATGTAATTTACCCGAATTTTAACACTATCGCTATTCCGAAACAATAGAAATTAGCCGAACCAGCGCTAGCCAATATTCTCATTGATTCACCTTCTTGTCACTTTTCACACTACATTGTAAAATTAGAATCTAAACAAATTACAATTCAGAAAAATTTGGTGAAATGGTACGCACGTACTCGCACGAAAAAAAAAATGGCGGGCGACACAGACAATTTTGTACCCTATCGTATGTAATGTATCATTAGATACGTGAGAGAGCAAAAATCTCGCCAAGAATAAGAAAAACCGAGAGAAACACCGAATTTTACCCATTCATTAATTAAATCTAAAGAATGGGCCACCACAACAAAGAAAATTGTAACAATAATAATGATGATATTGTTAGGTGTGAAGATAGGATTTATTTATTTATTTATTTATTTATTTTTGGGCAACGAAAATAATTAAATTATCGTTATTGGATGAACGAATGAAACCAAAGGTCCTCTTCTATCATACTTCAACTAATATCCCAAATTACACATTAATCCCTTTCTTTTTCATAATTCCACTCGATCAATGTATGTATATCATATTTAGTTTTTTATTATGATTAAATCTGTATAATACAAAATTCTGTTTTGCTGAGATATATAAATGTATTACGCTATCGCTATTTTAATTTATAATTACCCAACGGTCTTTGCCCTTTTATCAACCAACATTACATAACATCACACAACAGAACCGAGCAGAACGTAACGCGCATACACATAAATAAACCAAAAAACGTACATAAAAAAAAGTCATTCAACTTTTTCATACCCTTTTTTAATAATATAAATAAATAAATCATCACATCATCACACGAATTAGTTACTATTATCTTCTCTGGCATTACACTCAAACAGCACACCCCCTTCCTTCGCACACCAACAACTCATCCATCCCATTTTCCTTTTTATTTCTCCCTTTGCTTCTTTCAAAAATTCACCATTTTACCCCATTATTTTCGGTCATGTATTTTGAATATCCACATCTACATCAGCATCATCAAACATAAACATCATCTTCGCTAAAGGAAATCTTTCGTCGCATCGTTTATATTTATACATATATACCCGATACAAATTATACAACACACGTATCAACATCAAAAAATATACGTTGTATATCTACAAAAAAGACAAAAAAACAGCACAACAAAAAAGTTTTAATAAATAGGAACTCTCACAATACCGCACTCTAAAACTTTCTTGTTACCCGTTTCCGTTTGTGGCCGCCTTTTATTATTATCGCACGTATATCATCATCAGCATCACCAATAAATCTACCTCTATAAATATATTTTTCAAAATAAAAAATATATATTTTTATATATACATATATTATATAAAATATATAATATAATAATACCACAATACACAAAGAGTGAGTGCACAAAACAACCATACGTATAAATAATAGCTAACATCTCCTCCCTCCCATTAATAATAAAATTCATCGAAATAGTAAGAATAATAGTAACTGTGTGTAGCTTCTACTCTAATAGTATTACTCGCTTGGTACGGTTTTTTTTGAGTGCGCAGCAAAAAAAAAATAAATATTTTCAAAAGAACAACTAGCTTCCTTCTATTTCTTCCGTTCTTGACCTCTAACCAATACCCTCCAAACTCGTATAAATATCTATACATATATAAATGTTCCTATAACCAAAGTATTCGTCGTCAACAAGACACAAAAAGTGAGAAATATATACTTTTGTACCATATAAAGACTGAAAGAAAAAAGTATTTTAGCAACGCTGGAGAAAAAAAAGATTTTCCATTCACAACCATCAGCAATCACAACAACAACAACCACGACACCTATACCAATAATACCTGCGCGAACACTGTTAATAATACACTCCTATTGTAGGATTTCAATCGAGGGACGAGCGTTCTGAGGAAAAAAAATGTATTTTTCTTTTTTTTTTTTTTTGTTTTGAATCGCTATAAATTTTTTACGATATTTGAAGTTGACCGCTAATTGTTTTTACCGTTTTTCTAACTTTTTTCTAACTTTTTTCTCCCTCCCATCTCCTTATTACTATTACCATTACTGAAATACCATTACTTAGCCTTCCACCATATAAATATAATATATAAATATAATATACCAGTAAATATAATATTTAATACATAAACACCTTGACGGTTGAGTTCATAGAAAAAACGAACATTTTTTTTATTTCAAAAAAGGACAATATGACTCGACCAACAATAAATACACCATCATCATCATCATTTCTTTCATCATCATCTTCATTAGCATCATTGTCGTCGTCAACATCGTCGACTTCCACAAGAAAATCCTTATCTGCTCCCGTGGTACAGAGCAGGCTCGAACACCACCACCAATTACTAAACAAGACCCCTTTGAAATCATCGAAACTCAACGAGTCAAAACCACAACAGCAGCAGCAGCAACAATCTCAACGGTCAAAATCATCTTTATCAACCAAAGGGAAACGCAACAATGTGGTAAAGGATAATAATGTTTCAGCGGAACCTTCAACCGTTAAAGGAGCGGCATCTCCCCTTCGAGTTACCACAATATTGTCTCGTGCGAACAAAAATTCTATTATTAATAATTCTAATTCTAGCAGTAACACCCGTGGTGAGAATACTGATGTTGATAAAATGGAGCAAATTTCGTCATTATCGAACGACAGCGGTTCTTCTAATTTTGCCAATTTTGATAATTTAAAACCTGTCAAACAACAACAACAACAACAACTTTCTAACAATAGTTCAACTGGAGTAAATAACAGTCAGAGAAAAGCAAAAGCGAGCCCATCTTTCGCTTCTGGGACTCCAAATCGACGAAGACATCAATATAACGATTCGGTTGACGATCCTTCCAGTAAGAAAGTAATTGCAATCCTACAAAGACCCAAATCTTCCACAGATCTCGTGAATTCCGCTGTCAACAATGTTAATACCAATAACACCAAGAAATCTCTCGAGACCCTTCGAGAAGTAGCGAATAATGACGTTAAGAGTGACCGTCAACAGCAACAACGTCGTTCTTCACCCACCCAACAAAATCGACGAACTATCATTCCAAATGCGGAAAGATCTACTGTTACACGTCGTAGTGATATTCCTTCTTCGAAAGCGAAACGTGTTCAACGTCGTAAGGAAATTAAATTAATGGTTGAAGCTATCGATAACAACGACGTGACTCTGAGTGTTAGTCCTCCACAATCAGAAGAAAGTCCATCTCTTCAACAACAATCTCTCCACCACCAGATGGAAACTCCAACCGATGTAAATAGTATCACCATAGATTCATACAAGAATCGAATTCCTAATTCACCAACACATGACGTTGACTTTATTCTCACCAAGTCGCCTTCTTTCCCAGCACTTTCCGCCCCCAAAAATGATCTCAACAATAACGAAATCTCTTCTCTCGTTGACATTAACTCGAACGTCACGGATGACAGGTATATATATGTCTTGCATTTAATGATATATTTATTTGATCCCATTCTGGTGATTTTCTAATTTTAACATCGCCTTTCTTTATTTTTAGCCTTTTCGAAAGATCTTTGAGCAAGAACTTTAAGCGACATTCTGATAATTTTGTGAAATTTAACAATGACGTGCCTATTCCGAATATTGTATCCCGTCGTCAGTCGAGTACTGCTATCGAGTTGCAGAGCCAAATCGCAGATTTCGCGGAATATGCTAACACGCAACGTCCTTCGTCAGCTTCTGCTAAGCCATCTAGTAGTCCCTCAAAAATGCTCACCTCGAAGCTTTACGCCGGTCCCGAATTTCATAATTCGCCAGCGCCAAGTGATTTGCCATTACCTTCCTTTATTGCTCGCTCTACTGAATCTCCTGAACTTCCGTCATCCAGAACAATTACTCCTCCACTGACCAACAGTGGTAATCGCTCTGAAGATGAGAACATGTTTGTCATGGATGACGACGATTATTTGGCGAAAGATAATGCTTCCGAGGGATTGCCTTCTCCGATGTGTTACAATATTCCCGCGAGAATGAACACCGCTCGACCATTGATTGTATATCCTAGTTATCCGAATGGTGCTAATTTGATTGAGATTTCGGAAAGTATCAGAAGCATGCTTAAAATCCAGTAAATGTCAACAGATGAGAAAGAGAAAGAGAGAGTGTGTGTAAAAAAATAAAAATAAAAATATAAATTTTGGCGGTGTGAAAATAGTATTTTTTTATTTTAATACAAAAAATTCGGATTTTCCCTCCTATAATATAAAATAATAATAATAATTATAATGCAAATAGCAAGCATCAGCATCATCACCCTCATCATCAGTAATATAATCATGATGTTCGAGTGCCAGAATTATTGATAACACAAAAACTCAATTATCAATCAATAATGGACTTGGCAATAATATATAGTATTAATAGTATTTCCTTTTTATTTAGACCATACTATCATCTCCTTTTTTTGCATATATATCTTTTTTTCTTTTTCATTTGTACATTTTTGTGATACTACCTAGTTCGTTTTTTTTTGGTTACACTATTTTTCTTTTATAATTTTTTTGTTAATGCTTAGAATCATATTTTCATTTTTGTAGATAATATGCTTTTTAGCAAAATTTCAAGTTTTGTTTATTTATCATAGATCTTCATTATATTTTTCCCCAAACCCCCTCCCCTTTTTGCATTCCTTTTTCCCATTTTCGATGTAAATTTTTTATCGATCCTCCTCTGCTTTTTTTTACCTTTTTATAGTTCTTCCCAACCACTAGACTTGGGATCCTAATTTTTTTGCTGTGCATTTTTCTCTATATAATTAGTATACATCCATCCAACATCAACCAACAGCACAATATTTCCCCCCTCCGTCTAAAAAAAATTACCTTTCTCTTTGCCACGAGCTTCTTTGGTAAAGCGTTTCCTACTCATCATCTAAATCTGTGAATGCTTAATTTTTCACAACTTGGATTCTTTTTTTTTTGTATGAGAGGGAGAAAGTTGTTCATACCATGCACACAGATTAAATCGATAGCTTGGTCATTCTTTTTTCGTGTGTCATGTCAGATGAATGTTTTCCCGAAACACATTCTTTACCGAATCTTTCTGCTTACATTTACCTACTTTGCCTTCGATTCTTGAATTTTTCTCCCCACTCTAATTTTTTCTCCCCACTAATTATGCTCTCTTCTTTCTTTTCTAAGCTCGATCTTTTTGCTTTTTTTCTTGATTATTTATTATTGCCTTTTTTTTGGGATAAAATTGATTATACTTACGGCGCCTCCTTTCCACCATCATCATCGTCGTTTTTCTCAACATCCCAAAAAAAATAAATTTTGCAACCAATATTTAAATAATAAACAATCATTTCCACTTTTGCAACACTTGGCGCTTTGTCAATTTCAGAATGTAAAAATTCTCTTCTGGTGAAAGTAAGAAAACAATCGATTAAAAAAGCCAAGTATGTGCCCAAATCCGCGTTTTCCTTCGTTTGCTTCTTTACATCCTTATCAAAATCAACATCTTCCGTCGCCTCCATCTTTTCTTTTTTTGTTCTCATTTACATGCACACGAGAATATCTTATTGAAAAGAATTCGTGCGTGGACATAAATGTACTTTTAGCAATAAAAAATTGAATGAATGAATGAATAAATGAAAATGAAAATGAAGTGAAATTTTAGGCTTTTTTGTGTGTGATATAAAATTTAACGTCTTGTCGCATTGATGTCGATCAATTGAATTTTTCATTTCTTATATTTTCGTAAGTTATTGAAAATATTGAGATTTAATCGGCTGATCAACGTAAAATAACCCGCTTTGCAGGATATTTACTAATTTGCATAAAGAAATACACTGGTGACTGATTTGATTGATTTTTCCAATTAGATTTTTCTATTAAGCCAAACAAAACTCGATTCCAAAAAGATGAGTTTAATCAATAATCTACATCATCAATTCAAGACGGAAAATGCGCGACATAATCATCATCTTAAAAGAAACAAGATTTTGGTACTTGGTAGACGCGGGGTCGGTAAATTATCTTTGATTAAAGGTAATGAATTTCATTATTCTTTGATTTTTTTAAAGTGAATTTAGATTTGTTTGTCTCGATTTCTTATCAATTCCATTTTCTGCTAGATATCATAGCTAAATCCAAACCTGATACAATAAAAGAGGAAACTTCAACAGTATTATTACCATCGACCTCAACTTCGGAATCTAAAGATACAACTGAACACGATGATCCAATTCACTCAGGTCTCACTTTACCATGGCATATCAGCACAAGGTATTATACAGCTGACGTACAATTCTGGATCGATGAAACTGTCGATGAGGAATTAGTTGATCCCAAAGTGATAAGGACGTATGAATCGGAAGAGAGCGGTGTTGGTGATGTGGTGGATGCTGTGGTGTTTGTGTTTAGAAAGGATGAGGTGAGTTGATCTATTCGAATTCTGTTTGACTCAAACTAGTTTTAAAACGTTCGAAACTTTGATAAAATAAAAATAGCCATCCACCTTCAATGACATTCGATCATTTTTACCGTTTATTGCACGCTACGAGCCAGCCATTACTTTGGCTGTTGGTAAATCATCAAATAAAACTGTAGCAACAAAAGCCAGCGATATGGTAGCAGATAATCAGTATATGGACTGGTGTTTGGAGAACGGATTCGAGTATGTGGATTTTGATGCGGTACGAGGAGAAGATGACGATGAAAATGGTAATAAGGATGAAGTTGAACTTTATATTCCATTGATGATTTACGTGTTTACATTTGTTGTTAAAATCTTTTTTTTGGGAAAAGAGCGAATTGGTATCGATCGAATTCTCGAAGCATTACAATCACACATGTGGGATGGAATGACACGATTATCTAATGTTATGTCTGGATCGCGATCTAAATTATCTTTTAATGATGTTGCTGATAGTGGAAACGATGATATTGACAACGAGTATAGTAGCATTGGTACTGTCAAATTGGGAAATCCTGAGCTGCAGTATAATCAAGAGTTATTGGAAGGTAATAACAAAATTTTTTGACCAATTTTAATCACTACCGTGTATACACATATCTTTTATACTGAACAAGTCTAAATTGGATCTAGCGATTTCCCAATTAAAGATTGGCACAGGTGTTACTGCTGCTGATGATATTAAAAAAAATAAATCTGATGCATCGCAAATGCGACAACATGATGTTGATTCGGACACGGAATTATTTCAAGGTAAAATGACCATCCAAATTCTATTTATTACAGTTAGACCATTAAGATTAAACGCGTAACTTTTTACAGATCTTCCTAATCAGAAAGAAATCGAAACAATGCACCAACAATTATTTGGCGATATTGACCATGACGATGATGATCACGATGATGTTAATTTTGATTTGGATGGAAATGGAGAGGCAAGTGATGGATTGGAAAGGGTGTTGACTCGTTTGACTAGTTTACGAGGTAAGGAAATTTAGTGGGAAATTTCAAAGGTTGGTTTTTTCCGAGGTCATATTTAATGAATCCATTTTTTGATGAATTTGATTTAGAAAAATGCAAATCTTTGCCGGATGATGAACGCAGGAAATTGGCAGCTAGCGTTGCATTTTCATTCGGGATGCAGTTGGAAAATGATTGATGATTATTGCGCGATTTATTTGTACTTATAGTATCATTCTGTAAAACAGATAGGTTAACTATGTTATATTTACGATACCCGACTAAAGCTTAAAGTTCCAAACTGTGAAAATAAAGAATTAATCCAGAAGCAAAATTCGCTATCAACAATTAATTTTTTTGGAAAAGATGATTTTCAACTGCGTATTTAAAATAAAACTTATGAACCAAAGTTCATTTGATCGTCTTATGCGAACCTATCGCTCCAAGACAGGGCTACAACGAATATTTTATAATCAGTCAAGAATTCTTGTCTTAATAATTCATATTATTTATTATAAATAGTATTAGAGATTATTATTATAAAAAAAATATATGATCATGTTCAATGACATGCTACACTTTTAGTCGCCGTCGCTTGCGCTACAGACAAGGTACGTTTTGTGAACAAATAGAAACCCATACCGGACCCAACGACCACGCTAATCATCAAATATCCATTATAAGTCATAAATATAAGCATGATAAACATCGAAACAAGCACTTGGAGCGCGTAAAGAAGTGAGCGGGTCAACTGTTGTCGATGTGTCAATCTATCATATGGAGATTAATATATCAATAAAATCAGATGAAAACGCAAGGACAAAAAAAACCTCTATACACACTTGATACTGGGATATGAAAAAGCTGTGCATGGTACTCCGTTGTCTCTAACAGATATTGCATTACGTTCATCCTCGCCATTATCACTTGGACCTAATAACGGATCTGTCACATCCCTTAACCTGTGTAATTCCCCTTGGACTATTCGTTCGTCCACGTTGCGAGCATATTCACGAATTACTTCATACAATGCTGATATCGCTGCTACAATCAAACAAGCGATTATTAACCCAAATATTGTATCAACGCGCCACCATCTAAATACGATGCATAGGTTTTCGCGTTGCCAGTTGAATAACATCTTTCAAATTCCCCATTTTTTAAAATATGAAAGATATATATATTAGAATAGTTAAAAGTTATAAATATATATACATATACATATGCGTATATATATATATATTGATATTAAATTTATATAGATTCTATTTATAAACATAAATATAATTATACTCTGCCACCGTTATAGCGGGGAAATATGTCAGAAGTAAATTTTTATAGTTATTTTTGTTAATAACTTTATAGCGGACGGATTTTTCAGCCCAATAGATTCGTTATAACGAGGGTAGAGTGTAATTAGTCTAAACTCACATTCATTGAGCACCTCTTCATATCGTGACTATCAACTCCAATATGCGAGTCGTAACCTCCATCATGTTCATGCTCGATAAGGTGATAACTCATTATAAAAGTTGAAGTTAACGCAAAAAAAATCGCGAAATTCTTTATTTCTGTAAATCACTACACATATGGGAATATAGGCCCATTGATAAATTATGTCTTTAAATTAAATGCATGCTTTAAAGGAGCATTTAGCGTTAGAGACTAAGTCCAAAATAGAAACGCTATTAAAGATCAATCAATCCAGATTAAAAACGAATTGGCTTGAGAGTATACAAATAAATACAGTAGCTCACTTAAGAAATGGAACACGAAAAATTTTATGAAAATAAATTCTAATGACTCTAACATCGATTCAGAATACCTAGTTCCCATACTCATTTTAAAGCTAATAACCTGGAAAATATTGTAAAAATCCTAAAAACTATATTAATGCTGCCATTTTAAAGAAATTGGACAATCTACATGAATATTTTTAATTAGTGAAATTTTAACTCTAAATAGCTTTGTTACCAGGGAGGATTGATGCGGATTGACTAATAAAAGATGTGTTTCTTAGGGAGAACTATTCATATACCAATTTTCAGCTAAATTGGTACCAAATTCGTGGAGTTATTTGTTCCCGAAGTACCAGTTAAATGCTAACA